CCCTTCTCACAGGGTCTGGCAAACTGAGGTGCTGGCCGTGCTCCCCTGCTCTGGCACAAACAAGCAGAAATGCTTCTTAAGATGTGCTGTCAAGTCCCAGGAGGAACACATCCCTCTCAGTCACCATGGCAACATGCAGCATCCATCACAGAGCTTGCCCAACTTGGGACTCTGTATGCCTTAGGTTCCATTATCCAAGATACTAGGGTAAGAATCAGCTCTGGCAAACTCAATGATCCCATGTGACTGTTTCTGTTCTTTTCATTCTACTAGTAAAACTTCCTGTTTCTGTAACTTTGAGTCTCGTTAAAAGAACTTATATAGCATGGAGCATACACGATCTACCTGGTACACTGCGAGCTGGGAGGGCAGCCGCCATGTCTGTCTTCCTCAATGCCATGCCTCCAAGACAGCACGCCTGGCACACAGGCACAAGAGACAAAATGAATAAAGGCATGTTTAAAGTGTAATTTCTTGGTTCATTTTTAAATGGAAGGAACTTGCCAAGAATAAGGTTAATTTTTGTAAAACCAACATAAAGAAAAAGTGGTACTAGTAAGAAAGGAATGTGATTTAGTCAAAATCATTTATTATTTAACATACATTTACTGAGCACTCTTATGAGTTGAATTGTGTCCCCCAAATAAAGATATGTTGAAGGGCTAACTAACCCCAGTACCTCAGAATGTGACCTTGTTTCGGTAGAGTCTGTGCAGAGGTAAACAAGTTAAAATCAGATCGTTCAGGTGGGCTCCAATCTAACCCGGCTGGTGTCCTCATAAAAATGGGAAATCTGGACGCAGACACACGCGGAGGGAAGATGACGTGGAGAACACCAGGAAAACACCGTGCGAGGGCGGAGGCCGAGGCTGGCGCTATGCTGCCAGAGGCCCAGGAACATCTGGGGCCACCAGGAGCTGGCAGAGGCTAAGGAGGACCTTTCCCCAACAGGTGTCAGAGGGAGCGTGACTGACACCTTGATTTCAGACTTCTGGCCCTCAGAACCATGAGACAATTTCTATCGTTCTCAACTGCTCGGTCCGCGGAACTTAGTTACACCAGCCCGAGGAAACTAACACAATACCCACTTTGTGCCACGCCAACAAAAGGGACAGAAATCTCCTCCCACATGGAGATTATGTTCTAGTGCAGAATTGTTCAGCCAACGGTGTCAACTACTCATTTACATATTGTCCATAGCTGCTTTCACATGACTACAGCCAAGCCGAACAGATGCAACAGAGACTCTCTGGCCCACATAAAGCCTAAGATGTTTACTATCTGACCCTTTACAGGAAAAGTTTGCAGACTCCTGTGCTAGTGCACAAGGACAGACAATAACCAATACATAACAGACGGTGGTAAATAAGCAAGGTGACAGAGAGAGAGTGGGGAGGGTGAGCTGCATTTAACGGGAGAGTTATCACAAGATGTCCTCACCAAGAAAGCGACACTTGAGCCAAGAGGAGGAGGGGGGACGGGAACCAGCCACACCCACGTCTGAGAGGAGAGCCTTCCAGGCACGGGGCACAAGGCAGGGCAAAGACCCTGAGGTGGGACGGGCAGCAGGGAGCACAAGAGGCCAGCACAGCACTGGCATGAGCAAAAAGGAGAAGGGGTTTGAAAGCGCCATCGACGAGGCGGGAATTTCGGCAGGGGACTTTGCAGGCCACCACGGGACCAGGGCTTTGATGTCACCGGGGGCTCTTAGCGGAGTAGCACGCACCGGCTCACAGGTTAAAGGCTCACGCTGGCTGCGGTGTGAGGGGCAGAGGAGGAGCGGGGAGGCGGGCAGGGGGCTTTGGCAGTAACCCAGGCAACGGTGGGAAGAGGAACTTGGATTCTGGAAATTTTCTGAACATAGAGCCAAGAGAAACCAGAGACGATCCAGGAAAGCAGAGGGGAGAAGAGTTCTCTGGAGCAAAAGGAAACAAGGCTGTCACTGCGACTTGGGAGCGGCCAGATAATGGAGAGGACGAGGCATGTGGGATCGTGGCTATTTACTGGATTCGACTGTGCAATCGAGAAACCAGACACACTCTGCAAGGACACTACACAAGGGGTACTGCACAGGCTGACCACAGTTGCTTATAGCAAAATTGAAATGGAGTCATAAAAATCTCATACTAATGCTGTTAACGGAAGTCTCTAATGAGAGGGACTCGGGCTTTGCTGACGTCTGTGGGGCCCCACGGGGATTCTCGTCGTGATAGACGGCCCCTGGCCACGGTTACTGGGCAGCCACCAAATGAAACCAACGACTTCTTTATCTCAGGCAGGCAACTACCCCAGACACCCACCCATGCAGTGGCTGAAGCCCTCACAGTTCATCCCCTCTCCCAGCTGGAAACCTTGAGGCCTCCTTGATTACTCCCTTAATAAATGAGTGTCGAATAAATACAGCTTCCCACCCCTTGAACACTGCTGCTTCTTAACGTGTAATAAGGGAAAGACAGACAGAGCTGCGGTGCTGTGCAGACCGCAGGGCAGACGTCTGGGGCTGGGTAAGCCTATGTTGTGGGGAGAGCGATCTTGCACACTGTAGCACGTGTACCAGCACACCTGGCCTGTACCCAAAAGGACATCTCCAGACATTGCTCACTGTCTCCGGGGAGGAACGGCTGCCTCCACATGTGGAGACCACCGGTGCAGACACTGGCAGGTGGCCTCATAAAGGGGGATTTGTGTAAAATGAGCCCGACTCAGAGCCCATTAGAGGATCCAAGGAAAGGCATGCTCCTCTCGTGGCTGACTCCGGGGACACAGGCTGAGCAGATGATGGCACAGCTGAGCTGGTACTTGGGCCACATCAGTGTCCTATACCAACCGACGCGCATTCGATTTTGGCTGCAGAAAGTGGATCACAATTTTGCTTCACCCCTCCAAGTACAGCCCTAAACCTCACTCAACCTACACTGTCTTGCTTTGCTTTCCCATCAGCCCACAGAGCATAAATATTCTCCCTCTGCTGCTCCGAGTCCCTGTGCCAGCTGGACAGGGCAGGTCTGAAGCCCCGTGCCAGCAGGCCTTGGGCGTGCCAGCCACAGCACGAGTCCGCCGTGTCCCTACAGCCACAGACAGAGTCCTCATTCTTCCACGATGCACCAGCCACCGCTCGGTGATGAGTAAGAAAGCCAGTTAGGACCAAGGGTATTCGAGCAAGGCGGACCTCACATCTTAGGTTTTCAGAACGATATCACTACACAAAGGTTCTTACTGGCTTCCAAGATAAAGCAGAAATCTATCCAATTCTGAAACCCTTGATCACTTCTCAAATCCAAAGTGGCTGAATGAAAGTGAAAACCAGCATTCACATAAATAGACCATGTTCTCAAAACAACTGCCTCTAAATCAGTTGTTTGGGAACTATAACGACACATCCTTCTTTAGAAACAAGGCACTAAAACAACCATACCAATTCGCACTTGTGCTATGCGTTTTCATTTACAGAGTACATTCAGATCCATTATTTCATTCAGCCTATGAAACAGCTCTGTGAAATATTTGGGGATTATCGTTCCCATGTTCAGAGTGAGGAACTATAGTTCACAAGGGAGAAATGAGAAGCAGTCCATAAAACACCATCCGGTCCATAATATTCTTCAGGGGGAAATGCCCTAGTTAGATAAACGACGACGATTCTGGTGGAGAATACTCCCAGATCCAAGGGCACAATGGATATGTCTGCGCAGCTTCTTCGGTCACTCTCTCCCTGCTTCCCTCGCATGATGTAGCTTCAGACTACCTGGAACCTCATCCAAGTCACTGCGCAAAGTAGCGAACGAGGGCAGGCTCAAGGCCAGCGTGTGCCCCTCTACTGACCACCCCCATGAGGAGGGCCTCAAGACTCTGATCAGCACGCAATGCATCCACCTGGCCGGACCACACACCAGCCTCTCTTTGCCCCGCACCCGTAACCCCACCAGGTCAAAGGCTCATGATGGCCAGAGTATGAGTCTAGGAACGCAGAGGATGGAGCTGAAGCTGGGGAGGTACTGGGAGAAGCGGGAGGGCCCCAGAGAGGATGGGGAGAAGGCGCCCCTCACCTCTGGCCTCAGCTGCCGCCTCCCTAGCACTAGACGCACGCCTGGGAAGAGGGGAGAAGATGGAGGTCCCACGAGGCACTGGGCTGCAGGAGGAAAGGGGGAGGAGGGGAAGGCCACGGACTAATCATGGGGCCCTCGCCTGTGCTGCTCAGACACGACTGGAAATGACAGGCTGGCTTATTAACAATGCAGACTACTGGCCACCACTCCAGACCCTGCCCCAGAGTCCCATTCCTAGCTCAGGGGGCCTGGTCAAGTGACCTAAAGACTGCCCTCTGGAAAACATGCCCCCAGACCCTGTACTCCCGGAGGCCACGCCCTGTGGACACGACCTCCGTCTCTGCTCCCTGTTTGCCGTGTGGCAGGTTCTGTTTGCCACTCAGGCAGGCGAGGAGCAGCCGCTGATCTGCAGAGGGACACAAGACGACTTGTTTCATTCCAGGAACAAGCACCTCCCTTATTTTGTGCGTGTGCGATCACTATGGGTAAGCCCCGCCCAGCCCTGTAGCGGCTGATTGGAGCGTTGCTGGCACTGATCCCTGGGATGGACACCTCCTTTGGGAGCACATCCGCGGTGAGAAACACGGCCTTGTGGGATGGGTTTGAGGTATAAAAGGAGCCAAAGCCCCCTCGGCACCAAGTCCGAGGACTGATCCAGCGGGGAAGTCACATTTGGGCCTGAGGCCAAGGGCCTGCCATCCTGGCAGGACCTGCACCATCTCCTTGAGCATGAAGGAGGAAGCGCTTCAATTCTGTCCCCAGCAAGGACAGTACTGGGGCCAGAACTCGCCTGAACAGGTGTTCTTTCTTTAAAACTGTGTCCGCGCTGTCATTTCGGCCTACTCTTGCTCCTGACGGTGGGCACTGCTCCCAGACAGGTGTGTTTCTGCACCCACCGCCGCGGGAGAGTGGCAGACGCAGCGAGGACCGGGCAGGCCCTGGGCAGGGACTCACCTTGCCAGTGGTGCTTGTAGTCACACATGCGGGACAGGGCGATCATCATGGCGCAGTACAGGGGCAAGATGGCAGCACAGAGCCGCCAGCTCTTCCCCCGCCCACTCTCGGTGAAGCAATGCAGCTTGCCAGCCAAGTAGAACGTCGTGAAGCCGAGGCCCGAAAAGGCAACTGCCAAAGAGAAACAGCAGGTGTCACTCTGGTAGGTGGTGAGCGGCAGGGACACAGAGCATCCTGGGCGCCCTGTCTGCCATCTCGCACGCCCCAGGCCAGGACCCTGTGGGCACGGGCACCGTCTAGACAATCTGTATTCTTGCTAGAAACACTATGGTATTAAACTTTCAACCATGAGAATGACCTTCCAGGCTTACATGTGAGAAGAATCTCTTCTATTTCATTCATTCGTACATTCAACTCTAATTTGACAGGTAGCTACTATGCGCTAGACAGACACTATTCGAGGTGTGGGGAATAAAAAGATACATCAGATGCATCAGTGTCTGGTCTCAGGGGCTCAGGGTCTGGTTGACGGACATGGCAATGCTGATGAATTATTTTAAGATAATATGTTGAGTACCCTATGGAAAAAAAGTGTATGCAGAAGAAAAGACTGTGAAGATGACTCGGATTGGAAGGGGGAGAAAAAGTAAGGGATTTTTGGCTTGGTGGCATTCGCTAAGGTGGGGCCGGCAAATGCTGTGGAGGAGAGAGTCTGACAGAGAAGCCAGTGATGCCAAATTCCTTGTTTTCTCAGAAATTATGAACACTGATTTTCACAATTGCAAGGACAACTCACGGGTGTGCTAACTCCTTTGTCAAAAGTGTGGAGTTGGGTGTAACATATGTAACCCCAAAGCTTTTAATCCAGTCACAGTTAAAGTGCAGTTGGAACTCAGTGAGATCTCAGGTGGGCTTAGAGCAACGGTCCTCGGCCCTGGCTACACACAGAGTCACCTTGAAAACCCAGGGAGCTTTAAACATGCTGCTAGCCAGGTCCCATTGCCAGACATACTGTTTGTACTGGTCTGCTGGTCTGGAGTGGGCACTGGCGTGTGTGTGCATGTGTGTGCATGCATGCGTGTGTATGTGGGAACTCTAATGGTACCCAGGACTGAGCTTAGATGCTTTTCTTGAAGGCAGGTGCTATAGCTCCTACTTTCTCTGGACACCTGCCTAATGAAAACTTTCTTCTTGATTAGAAAATGCTGCTGAGGGGCGGAGCTCCT